CACAATCCATCAACTCGAGTCTACCTACCCCTACTTCAGCTCCTGCAAAGTTTCAAACGGAAAGAATAAATTCTCGTTCACGAAAACCGATCGTGGAATCTATATCATTCATCCCCCACAATCTAAGCTCAAGATTTTGTGTCCGGATTTGGCTTCGTATCCGTGGAAAGGAACGTCGATGCCAAAATTGTATGTTCAGGGTTCGTGATGGTCATGGAATCTGGGGATTATGTGGAGTTTGGTCTGTTTTGGATGAGATATACATATCACTGTGTGGTTATATAATTATTATGTACTGGATGTATTTTTAGGGTAGATATGAGATGGATGAGATGAAGATATTAACTCTCTCACTATTCAAATAGTTAAAATCTGTAGATTCAGATAATAATGCAAAAAGTTTCAATCTAAACTTCCTTTCTCTTCTTCCCAATATTTCCCATCTAGCCTCTCATCCTACTTCCCTTCTCCTTCCAGCACCTCATCATATCCTCCTCCTCAAAATAATTCAACAAATCTCACAAAAAATATTCACCCACGCCGCACTCTCCCAATTTATCCAGCCGGACCTGCACATACCCGCCAAACGAAAAACATCCACATAGTTAGGGTACATATGCACTCCAAGTACCTGGGTATCACCATACGGTTACATCGGCAATTCGAGTTAACAACCGGCGTGCACTGATATCCAATCATCACATGGGTGTTAAAAGAGTATTGGGGTCCGGGGAAGAGGTACCTGGCACTAACTGTTAGTTGCCGACGATGTAGTCAGGGGTGTGGTGAGGATTTTTGGGGTGAGATTTTTCTGTGTCTTGGATTGTGTGTGTATTTCATGGATGTTTTGTGTTACGGTCACAGGTTTAAGAGTTGGTTCGTATCATCCTTCTGTGGTCATAAGAGAGAAATATAAGGGAAGTTGTGCTTGTTTTTAATACTGAATGGTCATAGATGGAGGGGTCTTCCGGAGTATCATGGATTGAGCATATGATCAACGTCACTTACTCGACGCAACGTACAGCGTACTCATTGCATATCGGCAGGTGGAGAATTCTCATGGCCATGAGGATATTAGTATGGGGGTTTTTAAACATCTTTTTGGACTGGCATGAAAAGATTATTTTCAATCACAATTTAAACCTTGTTCTAATTTTTCATCACCTATGAGTCTCGGCTGACACAGAATAATCACTGGATCCAGATATAGCCGCGCCTCCCGCCTCTAAGACGCTTTTAGATTTCCTGCCTCTGCAGTGCACTGTGCCGCATTAACCATTCCATCTCACAGTCACGTACTCGGTTTTCTACATGTTCAGTCGTAGACCTCAAGTCTGGTATCGCCCTGTTAGTATTCATCTAATCACAAGTTCAATTATCACAGAATGATAGACGGAATATTTGAAATTCGTATCCATTGCGTCAAGTATCGTATCATCTATGGCGACGAGAAGAGGAAGCTACCTAAGCTACAAACTAAAGCAAGCAGTTACATAAAATCCGCCTGTATCCAGCAATCAAGGCATATGTATCTACTCTGAAAGCCCAGTGATAAAAGCAGTATTTCCAGAGAAGCTGCACCCTTCCCGCCAAAACTCTGATTTTCTAAGTAAGCTTTTAATATGGTGTTGTGGATAAAACTCGTAAAGACATTTGCATTTCATGACCCCAACTCCTCGCTATCCTTTTGCTCTCCATTTCACTCCTCGCAAGTAAAAATAAATCTGTTGGCACCACATATATTTGCCAATCGTGAAACATAACTACCGAGCAAGTTGATCACTACTCGCCTCACATTCTTCGAATTCTAACTCCCACTTATCGACTTCCTCGAATTTCCGCGCAGCTTTCTTCAATTCCTTTCCTACCCTCTTCTCCAATTCAGAGCTATTTTCACTTCGAGGCTCTTCTGCTGGCCTTTCGTCTTGGGCAGGTGCCAAACTGTCATCTGGATCGATTTCATTTTCTTTATCAGATGCTGCCGGTGCTGGCTTTCTTCCGTAAGTTCTCTTCCCTTTACCTTTAGCAGCAGCCTTAGCTTTTTGTGTAAGTTTTGAAGACGTAGCAGATGCTCCAATGGTAGGGCGAGCAGAAGCTTGACGACGGGCAGTTGGGGCGACTGTTATGGTCAATTCGTCATCATGCTCGCCAAGACCAGTAGTGTCCACCTCACTGTCAGAGGATTCTACGTCCAGAGCGGATCGATGACGCTGACGGCGTCTTGGAAGTAGGGCTTGTAGGGCTGCAGTAGATAAAGTTGCAGGTTGAGGTGCAGCTTTACGCGGAGGCCGTGTGGAGCGTGTAGGTATATCGGGTGAATGTGTGAGTGATGGCGGGGAAGATATAGGAGAGGAGCGCATTTCTGAATTTGAGACACGCGGTGGAGTTCGTGGATTTATTATGCGTCGAGGTCGAGTAACTGCCTGACGCGTATTCAAGGTAGGTTGAGGAGGCGGCGGAGGTGATGGTAAAGATTGAGCGGGCGAAAGAGAGGAACTTCCAGCACGTGGAGGTGCCATAGTTTCACTCATAGGCTCGGGCGTCGCAATACGTTCTATTGATGATAATGGCGAATCCTCAGGAGAAGGCTCTTTTTCTAATTCTGGTAGCTCGCCCTCCTCGTCGTCTTCATCACTATCTATCGGCGCGGTCGCGGGGATTGTGTCTTCGGGGTCTGAATCGTTTTTAGGTAATTTGGAAGGGCTCTGCTGCGTCTGCGTAGCGCCTTGTGAACGTGGAACCTGTACACTAGACAGTTTTCGCTTTCTTGAACTCGATGACGAAGGCACAGCTCTTCCCTTGGCAAAATTTAAAGGTGTTGATTCGTCTTCGGGCGCAAAGCCATCGGAATCAGAATCGGAATCGAATGTAGGTCTTGCTTGTTCTGGTTTCCGCGCCGTTCCCAAAATACTAGGTTCTCGAGCTCTTCTTTTGAAATTGCCAAGTCGCAATACAGATCCGATTTCTGGCCTGTCTCCACCCACACTACTTGGTCTCCTAGATCCAGCGCGTCCTCTAAATGTTCCCATTCCCAGCCCAGATGTGTTCCTCTTGCCAACACTTGTAAGACCGTTCTCTTCTGCCAAGTCCGAGTCTACACTGCTTGATCGAGCTCGTGTTGTTTGTTGTCCTAGAATACTTGGTTCGCGCGCCCTCCGTCGAAAATTACCAATCGCAAGTACAGAATTGTCCATAGCAGATGTACGTCGACCTCTTCTCCCAGCTTCAATTTCCGGGCTACTAGATATCCGCGTATCATCATCTGATTCTAATTCTGGCGCATTCTTCGGCTTTGTAGTATTGGCAGCTTCCTTAGACTCTGTATTCTCGATGTTGCGCGATGCATTGCGACCACTGCTTCGTGTTGCAACAGACTTTCCTTTTGCCAACTTTGTCGCACTCGTAGATTTCTCAAGTTCTCCATCACTGACATCATATAGATCGTTGAAAGGACGCGCCGTTGGAGCTGCCGCTGGTAAAAATTCCGATTCGACTAGTTCTGCTGATTCTATGACGCGCGGGGCAGGCGCAGTCGCAGGAGGACGAGTGACTTTTGTGCGTTTTGGGCGTGGCATTTCGACAGGTTATTAAGGGATTGCTTATCACTGAAATTGAATATTCCAACCTATAGAAGGCCGTTTATTGAATTTCGTGAAACTTTTCGTGGTGGTATCAGATATTGTGGTGGTAGATGGTTGAGCGCGTCGCGTCTCCACCTCTCTAGTTTATTAGTTTGTTTATCTTTAGCGACAAACAAAGCAGCTAATTATTGTAATCTACACTACATCATAGCTTTATTAACTCGTCAAGTAGAACATCAGCATCAGAATTCAGTACAACTCAATATGTACCAGAACAGCTAACCCGAATGCCATTTTTACAATTGGCGATCAAGTCTCTTTTAATCTTTACAAGTAGAGACGATTTGCGCGATTCCACTATGCCTCTTATGCCTCACAATAGAGATGGGCCAGCGCCCGCTTACTTTCAAGAACTGTTTGAAATCTTATAGAATTTATGTCGAAAGACTCGAGGCTCTGAAAGCAAGGGGAATAACTAGTTATAGTTTCCCTGACGTCTACCTCGCGTGTGTTGAGTTGTCACAGCACTATAGCTACTCGAGTGGTGACAAACTACGTATCAATTCGTTTCAAGCGTGTGTATATGTCAAATAAGTTGAGTCGTCACAGAGGGGACCACCTGCAGATTTTTTTGGTTTCGAATCATATGTACCTTGAGTGTCATTGAGGGCCAAATGCTTGTGAGGTCACATCGTACCTCGGTCATGCCCAATTGACTTTCAGGTCCCTGCAGTACAAAGAAAATGCGAATCCGAATTTTGGTTGAATTATGGTTGACAATCTCATCAGCGTTCGAACCATCAATATTTTCTCCTTTCACAATCGTTCTTTGCTCTCATACTGATAATTGTAGGTACTTTGCCTGCGCCTCATTACAATGTGTGAAGTTTCACCGACTTTTGGCAGCAACGAATGCGAAGAGTCAATAGAAAGCTGAGTCTTGATAACTGTACTGGTTCAGATTATGTACTACTCGTGGTTTATATTTCAAGTCCAAAGACTCAGTACACTTTGTCTAATCTCTACAACATAGTGGTAGATTGCTTCTTGAGGGCTATGTAAGTTTCGAAATACTCGGTTTCAAACGGATATGTCAGATTTCCTGGATTCAAGAACACGACGTCCACATGAGTGGTATTGGGCAACTTGCAAAGAATTTCCATAATTGCAAAAGTAAAGACGATTGAGGCTGAAACACTAGCCCTGATTCACCAGTGCTAGCTTTTTAATAGCAATTATTACACGGCTGCAGCTGATCGGCACGTTCGAGCGTTTATGTTGCTTTAGTGGTCACTCGGTCCGTGCCGTTAACCGCTGCAACCCCAAAGTTAGCTTGGGCAAGCGAATATACTCTGGTCTGCTCCTTGGGGTAAATCTATTGAGGATCTATATGCAAGACGCGCGGGGATTCCGACTTCCCACTGATATAAGGCCTTCGTGACGACATACATTCGATATTGGTGAAAAGATGCGAGGATATGAACAACTATAATATGTGGCTATGCACTCGCAGAATGATGTTGTACAAAGACCATCCTTGAAGTTCAGAACCACAGGTACCATCCACAACACAGCCCTCTCAGCTTTACCGATGTGTGGAGTTTTCAAAAGATGTGAATGCTGTACCACTATCATTGAGCAAAAGACATTTGATCTCAAAGAGCCTCAAGTTTCTGATCACACGGTATTGCGGCAAGGTTATTCACCGACTCTGATCGCCATGATCCTGTCGTTATTCCATTCTTTCATAGAAAGTCTTTGCTACCTGATTCGACAATGCTATACAGATTCGCAATTTTCCGTCCATTTTGTAAGAAGGATGGGGTAATGTCGTTTGCGGCCGTCATACCCCCACTTTCAGGCCGGAATGACTGGCATAATAAGGCACTGTTACACCAAGCGAGAAAGCTGCTTTCTCCTACCAACAAACTTGGATGTTATACGAGGTTTCCAAATTTTCAGTCCCTCATGACTCCCAACTCATTGATACCAAGAGGGATCATTTCCATGGTAACAAAAATCTCATACCATGAATCTACGAGGGTGCAATTAGCCGAGTGAGATCTTCCCCCTGGAAAAGGGCTGAGTGTTGCGTCTACTTCCGATCACCAAGATTTGACATACACCGCATCGTTTAAAGCTCTGCTGCTGATGTGCCACACCTCCAACTACGACGATGTTTTCTTCGAGACGTGGGATTTCGCCAACTCATCTAGCAGGCATAAGCCATTGCGGCTGTCAGAACATTGCAACATAAGGATCAAGATACAAGTAGAAGTCTCTCCTATCGTAGAAGTCACACACTTCAAGCTCCGATAAACAAGCTCTAGCTCTCAAGTTATCTCACACTGTTTTATGATACTAGATACTGAAATGTGTAAGCTGAAACATTCTACCAGATTCCATCCCTCCTCTTCTAACATCTTCCTAGTGGGCGCTGATAATATTATCGATATAACTTTTGGTGTTACAAGCGCCATCCTCACGATGATAACTATTTACTTGATGTGTAAACACCACAATTCTAGAGGTAAGTTAATCTCGGCTCTCGATAGGCCATAGCTGCAAGGTCAGCATATATTAGACGACATAAACTTGACATATTACATTTCTTTTTTGAATTCCCTCTGACCAGATTAGTTCCAGAACTTGATGTCGAGCAAGGCAGAGACTTTAAACTCAATCCAACTATACCAAATTCTGATCCAGTTTCTATTCCTTCGTACTCTGACTTGCGATCCTTGCCTATGACATTGAACCAAGCCGTTGTATCATTTCCAATTGCCCCACAACCAGATATCCTACCCAGCACGCCATCTTATCAGACTGCTTCTGAAATTACGCTTGCACAACATCAAATTCTTGAGCAGACTATACAGTCCTTTCCTATCACGACGGATATAGCTACAGTGCCAGATCTTCCTGGTTCTCACGCTTACTACCACTCACTCCAGTCTTTTTTTCTAAATGAGAGTGGGTAGTCTAAATTCGAATGTTCGCGTCATATTAGCAATGAATTTGTGAATCTGGCGTTTAGTATCTATCGAGTTGCATTGTAGGGAGTTAAGATATGGGCTCGCGCCGGGATACCCATATGATGATAGTATACGAAATAGAGTTGGGGTTACGTTTTTGTGGTGTTTTCATTTGAAATTTGGATAATTTGAGTTTTGGATGCAGGGAGTACTTACGTTAAATTTATTTTCTTTTTTTTTTGCAACACAAGATTTGAAAGGGATAGAGAAGAGGGCGAACACAGAATGTATTAGAAAGAAGACGGAATGAGGTATAGCAGGGGATATTTATATCAGGGAATTGAAAAGCGCGAATTGTTCAGACTAAGCATTTTGCTGAGAGCAGGATAATACGATCAATTGAATGATATATAGCCGATATCTCCCGCAAGGGCTCTCATCATCTCTATGCATGTGGATTACGACCCCCACTTTCCCAATTGGGAATGCGAACATACATGTGCATCAAAATCTTACTATTAGAGGATCGGAACGAGCGCTTATGTGACAGTGTGGGGAGAAAACTACCTCTTTAGATTAAAACGGTGTTCCTCGACCCCGCTGCTCAATACTCTCAATAGTGCTTTCGGGAAGCTCGGGTGTACTCCTAGTGAACCCCACATTCCATCGAGATCTGTAGTCTTTTTATTCCGCAACGGCTGCGGTGCGGCCCGGAACTTGCGGGTTGACCCATCTGAGACCCGATTTGTTGGAGGCTGACAGATACATTAAGTCTAATGAATCTTAAAGGAATAGGTTGAGTCACATGGAAAACCCTAAGAAGAATCACAATCGTGAATAGTTTGGGTGATTGGTATTCATGCGCCTTATGTCATTGTGATACTCCGGCAACAGCTTAAATCCTTCTATTCACAATCGTCTGTTCATGAAGAAATACTACATAGCACACTCGCGGTCTTCCCGATGAGCTTCAGGCTCCAAGAACTTGAGTAGAGATCAACTCGTCATCAATGCGCCTTAGAAGCTGGCTAGGTACTGTCCAAAGCTACAAGAAACACAATCCCGCAGAGGTTCTGCCCAATTGCTATTGACAACACTCTACAACGGTAAGCCAGTTAGCACAATGCCTGCACTGCATGAACAACATGAAATAAAACTCGTTTTATTGGCGTTTTGTGCTGAGGAATGGTACCTTATCTTTCCTTGTCTACTTCACATTCAAAGCCAAAAGTGTTGTGTCTTTTAAGTCTGGACTATCATTCCCAGACACCCGTATCTAAGTTTCCATCATATCATCATTCAGTACTGCAACACGTCAACACATCAATACATAACAAACCTCAGATCCATCTGCAAGCTAAACACTCCAAATCTTACGAGCACTCATGATGACAGAAAGTATACAATTCCGAAGCTAAACACACATACCACAAGCAATGACCAAAAGATTATTAAACTATTTCTCCCAGTAGTAGGATTACATACACCCTAGCTATACTAGCACAAACATAGCTATTCACAGGTATTCACTATGATACCTTCGGTTCCATAGACAACATCACTGCTATTTGCTTCCGTCTCTTAGGCTTCACATCCGCTATCAATATTATTCTCTTTACGTGCAAACACTACTAAAATGTTGAGTATACGCTCAGTTCAACTTATCATCATCTAATCTACTCCTTCTTTCGTAGCGGCAAAGGACCCGAAGAACAAATTCGTCTTCATGTATAGTATATCAGTCATTTCTCCGCATCCAGATTGTCATCAAATCCACATCATTCTTCCCGTCGCATTTTATCTCGTATCTCCTGCTATCATCCTCCATACTATACTACACCATACCCGCAAGTCCGTTGATATTACAACCGAATGCAGTATCCACAAAAACACCTTCTTCAAGCCTTCAATACAATTCCACCTGCGCTAATTTCATTCCTCCGCACCCGACAGTTTACCAGTCTAGTCGCCTGGTCATCCTGACTATGGCCCTCTCGCACACTGAATCCAATCAGCTCGTGTATCTCATCTAATTCGTCTCCCCTCAAACTCCAACCTTACCTTTACTACACACATAGACATCAGTATCTCATTGTTCTCAATTTTCTACTCCTGATATCGAGTGTTTCACTAGCATACAAATCGATAAGAATACAAATATCAATACATCCAATTGCAGTCTCATTTTCTCTTCCGGGAAACTGATAGAAAATTGACATAATGAAATCTATACCGTCTTTTATCACTTTCTAGTTCCCATAATGACATTACACAACTCTTTGTCCTCTACATCCCTCGTGCTCCTCTGATCTTCAGTCGACATACGAGAGAATATATGTAGATATAGCTAAGTATTTACCTACTTACCCCCATCACTATAACTCCCCTCCAAATCTCAAAGATTACCCAACTCCATATTCATCACTCTTTACACCTCATATATCTAAAATTATATCATCAAATTATAGCTCGAAGCCTACAGAGCATTTTCTCCCCATGACTAAACCCGAATTCGCAATAGAAGCTCAGGTCCAATTCAAGATTGTATTGAAGAAAGTCCTAGTGAAGATTCGAGAAAGGGTGTGTGCTTAGCATTATATCATTTTCTGACAATTTACTCCCACCCTCTCAAATTCAAAATATAAGAAAACATAAAATCACCTGCAATCCTACACAACTCTAAGTATTCGTATAGCTGAGCTGAAAATCTCAAGATGCAGGATGTTGTTTGTACGAGAGCATCTTCCATTTGGTGGTCAAGCTGCCATGATCAGTAAGTAAACTATTGCTCCTCCATGCGTCTTGATGCAAATTCTACAATCTATGGATGATTCTCAAGTATTCCAAAGAGTCCCAATAGATCTATTATATTTCATAATGAACTTCCTTACATATCATGTGCCCTTAAAATGAACACATGCGTTCTCTGCTCCAATCATGTCCCGCTTCCGGTAAGAGAATTTCTCTATGGGTATACTGCAGTATCGATTAGTATGCAAATGTATCCTCCTAGGATGAAGCAAATTCAACATTCCAAACTAATTGAATGCTTCAATAGGATTCGGAGCAAAGGTCTAGGATAGTCGAACCCTTCTTTTTCTATCTAGTTAATGGTCGCATTACATAAGATGAAACCTGTATTGAAAATTATGACTTTGATATTAAAACTTCTGGAACCTTCTTGTAAAGCAGACTTACTTATATTAGAGGTGAAATCAATTCTCATTGTAAGAACTCAAGATGTGAAACATCATGTGACACCAACTCATGTGATAACGCACCTGTCTCATTTTTGATGTGAAAGACACCGGTAAGACTTTGCTTTTTTGCTTTCAGTGAAGGGACGTATTCATGACAGTATGAGAGCCTCTTGATATTTCTCAGTCACTTATCTACACCAATTGAATTGTCCTTGCTATCTCTTTCTTCAACTAATATTCGATCCTTGTCTTTCCTTGAGATTATATTATTCGTTTTCTTATTGGATTTTATTATTCTTATTGTTAGAATATTACTATATATATAAAATATATAATTGAATATTCAGAAGTAAATATTTGATATTCGAAATCTTAACCTTTAAAAAAGAAATGTAAATATTTAAAGATTATAAGGTTGAATACATATTTATATTTACATTTACATTTATATTCTCAGTAATCTATACGATCTCTAATAAATAAATAGATAGAATATATAGTCATAATTATAATCATAATCATTATATAAAACTATATTATTCTATATTCTAACTCAATAGAGAATAATATCTAGATCTTGGCCTCATATCCTAAAACTCGACGCCATATATTCACAATTCACTTCATTATAATATATTCTAGAAATAGCCAAGAGGCTTACTATAATATTGTTAATGTACGATTATAAGCGTCCTGTTACGCTATTAAGCGTGTCGGGTCGCGACCTGATCGCTTCTATAATGATGATGACAACTATAGCAATAATCAATATAAGAGGAGATGACGATATACAATCTATTTATAAAATAATAATCAATCAATTCTATAAAAAGAATAAAAAGCGACGAGTAACCTTAAAAATTGCAAGTACAATCGATATGTATATTAAAACCTTAAGCAAGATAGAATTGAATTATATCAATAAGCTAAGATCTATATATATCAATAGTATGATTAAAATTACAGAATAAGCTGGATCTTTATAAAAAACCTTTATATCAATTACAAAAGTAATTATAAAAAGATCTACTAAATCCTATATTACTATGCTTAAGGCTAGAAAAGCGTTTTAGGCATTGAAGGGTATCAAAGCGAGTATACTCAAAATGATAAAGATATTATAGAAATATAAATAATAAAAGCAAAATAGTTGTACAATTCTTATAAAAATGGGAAGTGGGTAATAAATAGTTGTTAATAATCCTTTCGAATTACAATTGAAAATAAAAGAAGCAATTTCTGAGTTAAGGTTTAAACTAATCTCCTCACTTTATTATAATAAAACGGGGTGGACTCTGGGATACAAGGTGTTAGAAAATTACAAGAATCTTTTATAAGATGATAATTGTATAAGACTGATTACTATACTTGATATAGATAATATTCAAATTACAGAAACCTGATATAATTATATTATACCCCAAATCCCTTATAATATATTAGATATATTTACAACACTCTCTAATATGATTATCCAAGAAGAAATTAAGGTATAAGTAGGAGAGAATCTAATTTAATATAGAATCTCTAAATACAAAATGAATTCTTTTACAAAAAAGACTAACTAGATTATTAGCTTTAGAAAGCTAATAAAACTATTCCGATTATTTAATATCAACGAATACTTAAAGCCTTTTAACAGATTGCAATATTCTTAATTATAATAATATTTTAATAAATGCTAGTTATACTATAATCCATATATATACTATCGCTTAGTATATTATTCTAAATACAGTAAACTAGCTATTAAATATATTAACAAAAAGATTTATAAGTAATATCAAAATGATATTTAGTATACGGGATGCCTTGGATTCTTTTGATCTATATATAATAACTACCTAGTAGCATTATAATCAGTTAATGGAAAACTGATTAGGCTTATATATCAATAAGTGAGAGAAGTCAAAACTACTAATTGAAAGAAGATTCAGAAAGTATATAAGGGAAAGATATCTATTATAATACCAAACAAACAGTTTTAAATAATTATTCCCAAACCTTTTGTATCGGGAGCCTGTATTACTGCTTATAAGAACGAATGGCAACTGGTAAACCAATTACTCAAAACAGATCTAACCAGGGAAGGTGTCACGGGATCACTTCTGGGAGTATTCAGAAGCTTTACCGCTGAGCTAAACGCCCAAAAGACTAGGAGGTAGAACTGGAAGTTCTACCTTACTCTCACATATATAGCAGGACAGGACAGGACAGAACAG